ATTCATGTTTTAAGAGAGCTAGACTTGAGAAATATTTTTAAGCAGTAAAAATTTAATTGTTAATTGTTAGATATTTCCAGTTGACAGAGCAACGTACTTTTAGGCCAAAAAAACAACAGACTGACCTGGCCAAAAACTGCACACGTAAACACTTAGCCTGGTGCAAAAGGCAGGGGGAGAAAGGGGTCAGGAGCGACTTAATTTTTCAACTGGTCGGCGTGGGCGACTGGCTAATTTAAGAGCGAAAAATGGTTTTGCGGAGCCGAGCTTTTCCTTTCCTGGCTAGTTGCCAATCAGGTCACGAACTGTCGCTTGTCCAGTTCTCGGGGCCCTGATTTTTCATGTTCTCTCATATTCTGGCGCATTCATGTTTTGGGCCCCAAAAAAGGGTCACAGGGAACATGTTCATAATGTGCGCTAATGTGCATAATGTATGCCACAGCCAAAAACCAGACACGCACACCTGTACACACCTGCACACACCGGCACACACACATATGGGGACAGCACGTGCAACAATAACAAAAACAGGAACAAGGTGAAACAGGCAATTTAACAAGCCATCAACGCTGATGGTGCCGACAATGATGTTGATGACGGGAAAGGTAACGCGTCGCCAGCAATAACAACAAAAAGCAAAGCAGCTGCAATAACAACAGGACGTCTAAACATTGGCCAAGTTAACAACTACAACAATCGGTGACAACACGGCCCATATTATGTTGCAACCAACCGCACAGCACACAGTTCGTTCGTCCTTTTCGAAAAAAGGTCCTCCCTCAGTGGGATGAAAACCAGGGAAAGCTGTCGGGACAAGCTGATCAATGGAAGATAATTAATTAAAGGGGAGTTGGACTTAAAGATTAAATCTTGCCATATTTAAGTATAGGTTTCTACAGTATCCTTATTTGCAGACTTTTCTGTCAACTTGCAATGCAATAGGTAAAAAAAAAAACCAATCACAAGTGAACTTAATCAAACTCTTATTGGTTCTTTAGGTTATGTATCCTAATCAAGTGATAAAGTAATTTCGGTTGACATAAATACAAGAAAACTCTATTCATTTTGAGGCAGGCAATTGCAGTTTTTTTTCTGGGAGAATGGAAAGCAGGAGGAGCCATCTTGTGCACTTTGCACTTTCCACTTTTGCTCACGGCAGGCGGAAGCACGAAAATGAAGGCAATTCAGTGTGAGGTTCCTGCTGCTGCTCGTCACGTCGCCACTGGAGGATCACGTAGTGACCCACACGCTTGCCCAGAAATAGAGAGAAAAAAAGGGAATACTTGATGCAAAACTTTTGCCCTAACCAGGCCCAGGCAGAGCTTATCTATGCTGCCTGCAGAGGCTTCTTCTCATACTGATGCTCCCCCTCTGCATACAATATTTATTACGCATACGACCGGGTGACACGCTCGGCTAAAACGCAGCAGCAGCCAAGGCCCCAAGCCCACCACCACCTATAAGTGGCTTAATTAGTGCGACAAAGTGTTTGCCAATTGAGCTGCTGCTCCTGCTTCTCCTCCTCCTTCTCCTGATTCACCTCAAACTTGCGGCCTTTAATCAGCTTACACAATGTGGACTATGTGGGACATGGAATGGTCACGGAATGGCCTTCACAATGGTCTAGGCGTAAGTCAACCATGGTCCTGAGAAGCCTACATCTCGAAAATTAACAATATTCCCACTACAGGGTGGGATTTTTCATTTAAAACTGATTAGCTGGTTGGCATACTTTTTAGGTTAAATTATTAATAGATTTTGTATTTTAAAATAATACGATTTGTATGTATGAATGGAGTATATTAAAATTATTTTTTCTTCATTTAATTTATATTTGTACCCAAGCAGGCTTTGGGATTAAATTATTGCCAGAATCCATATACGTTTTTTTTCAGTCTATCTTTTAATCGAAGTGACAACTATCCAGCTCTTTAAAAAATGTGTATGAAAAGAACTTGACTAGTTTTCATTTATATCCAAAATTATAAAATAATTTTCCGATGTATGTTTTCAATATTAAATCGCATCTCACATATAGTCAGTGTGTTTCTTTTCTGCCTTTAAAGATTTCTTTTTATCTTAATTTTATATATACACTAAGTTACTTCCTGTCCAATGATGTGGAAGATATATTTGGTTAATACCGTATCAAAGTATAATAAAGTAGCAACATTTTGGACCAAGTTCAATTAATATTCGTTAATAATTCATAGTTAATTTAGGCTATGAACATTAAGAATACTTTTAAAGAATCTTTTTGCAATTAATTAATGTGGATTCATGGCAATTAGGGAATTAAATGGAAAATAAATGCATAGCTACCTATTCCGGTGACTTCCATTAGGCTTTTCGTCGTATCATCTTGTTTATCCCAAAGTATTGCATTGGCCACGTCATATTTTTGGGGTCCATGCGCAATCACTATCAGATCACTTTCACTATCACTAACGATGTTAACAGTGGGGAGGCCACGGACAGACTGAGATCAGCCCGACAGCAGCGGCTGTATTTATAGTCACAGAGCAAGAGAGCAGAGAAAGTGAGAGCGCGGGAGAATGAGGCACCTTCAGAGATACGCAGCCAGTGTAAGTGGGAGTAAGGGAGGGTGAGTAGGTGAGAGTAAGGGAGAGTTAGAGAGTGTTAGTTTGTGTCAGCCTATCAAACATATAGAGGCAAAGAGATAGAGTGATCGATCCGGCTGTTGATGCTGGTTAATATATATTATTATATATGGTTTATAGGATCGGAAATGACTGCTTCACTGTTTTGCAAGCTTCTGACATAAATTATGCTTTGAATTTTTGTCATTTTTGGTGCTCACTGCTGATTTTCTGATTTGCTGACAATTTGTGACTTTTTTGAAACAAAACCTTCAGTCAAAATTTTTCATCTATTTCCTTGATAATTGGCGGAGCTGGTACTTTGGAATGGAATAAACTGCGGCCAACATATTTTTTATTTGGTTGTTTTTTCTTCACATTTCATTACTATTTGTGACAGTGCGTATACGTAATTTTTGTGACTTTGTTTTCAATGAAAATACATTGCATACTTTTGAGGTAAATTTAGACAGAGGAACAGCTTGAAATGCAATCAGTTGTTTTTTTCTTCTGGATTACTTCCGAGGAGACATTAGAAATACCCATCCTAAAGAATTTTTCAAAATTTTAATTATAGGAATTTTAGCAGTTTGAAAAAAAATTACGTATTACTGGTGTAAATTGTATTTGATCATAACTAAGCCAAAAAGCATTAATTTCCATTCGGAAAACTGTTCTGTGTTAGTTTTTGTTGGGTTAATATATCTGCATACTCAGTTAACAAATTGTTAAATTTTTAAAAATTTTGATAATGTAATTCACCCTTATAAATGCTGATCAAGAATATATATAATTTATAGGGTCGGAAATGATAAATTCACTTTGTTTTAAGCTTCTGACTAAAATTAAAATACCTTGCAAGGGTATAAAAATATTATAAAATAATAATTTAATGTTAATAATCTGTTTTTTTTTTAACTTGAATTTTGTTGAAAGCAAAATTCTGGCATTTCACTCAACCTGAGTGCGTTCTCCTCTCCCTATGGATGGTATGTGTAAAATATAGCAATTGAGGCGCCAGACACACCCTCGGCCACACACTCCCGGGCAAATACACACTCACACACACACACATCAGGACGAGCTGTTGATGGCTTTCAGTCAGCGAAGGGAATTCGAGGATTCGCATTGGCCGGGCACACATAACTCAGCGAAACGACTGGCGATGAAGGCAATGCATCCGGAGCCTCATGGGCTGCCAACAATTAACAGCATAAATTTAAATATGCAATTAATGCAACAGCCTGAAGCGTGAAAAAAACGAACAATAAAATTAACGTAGTAAGAGTTGCAGTAAGGGTCAATTTCAGAGCTCTTGCAAAGGTTTAAGTTTTAATTTAACATTTATTATGGGTCAGAAATCTAATTAAGAATAAGTACATGACTTTTCATGTGTTGTACTTAATTATTTATAAGTTTAAGTTATTTATTTTCCAGCTATTACTGTAAGTGATCGACAACAGAAAATGGAAAATAGTCGAGGAGACATGCCAAGTGAGAAGGAGGCATCAAAGCGTTAAAGTAAAAAATAAAAAACCTGGCGACAATAAAAAGCGAAAGGTCATTTTAACACATGCACTCACGAACACCGAGCAGTGAAATGCATTTGATTGTTTGTGTTTTACTTTTGTTGTTGTTGGCATTTATTTTCCTCTTTTTTCCCGGACACGCAAAAACAAGGTTGAAAAAAAAAAAAAACACAATTTCCCGCTTTATTTGCGCAATGCTGGCCAGGCCACAACAACAGCAAAAATGACAAGGGCAATGTCTGTAAGTTATATGATACTGCCAGAGGAGGATCCCCCTTTCCTATCGCCGACAGAGAGTGGAGTGACCCTTCACCCCCATGGCAATCGTTGCCATAGCCGCATGTCAATATTTTTGCGCTTCAGCCTCGGTTACAAAGGCCCGCCGGGGATTCGTCCTGTAAAATGTATTTCAACGCAACGGAAAGGACTCTTTACCAATGTGTAAATTGCTCTGGCACTCTTCACCTCTCTCGGTCTCTCTTGGTTAATGAAATTAAAACAAATTTTCAGGGAAATTTAATATGCAACAACAGCGCACTTTGCACAGTAGGCGGGCATAACATAATAAGCATAATAATGGTATAAAAATTATTGCACCTGGCCGATGCAATTGCAATTGACAGCGACAGCCACACCAATAACAGCAGCAAATTACGGCGCTCAATTACGGGGATCAAAGTGCAACAGCAACCAGGCATCTTGATGATGGGAATTTTTTTTTATAAAGCATACATTTTATGCTAACTTTTCTCTTAAAAATTAATTCGTTTTAGATTGCAAGATTGTTTTATTAGATCACAAAAGATATAAGTATACAATCACACCTCAAATTATATAAAATGAAATGAAGATAAGAACAAATTGGAAATAATTATAAAGAATTACTACGATAAATGAAAAGTAAAGAAGGAGGTTTTTCTTATTCCCACACAATATGCAATCGACGTAGTCCCTCATCAAGATTGGGCTTTTCCAGCTCCTCGGGCTGTGGTTCCAATAGCAGCAACTGTTCAATACTATAACGTTGAATCAATTTACCCATTCGATTCTTTAATGGTGGCAAAGATTGGTTCAGTCGGCGTGGTGTCCAATTTGGAATTGGTAACGAATGGGTAAGATTTCCCTTGCGTTTCTCCGCCAAAAGGAGTTGGGATGGTGGACGATAACGTGGAATATCTTGAGTCTTCGGATCCACACGTTTTATAAATTCAGTTGATCTGATTTTGATCGCATTTGGTTTTGGGTTGGCCAGATGCTTGGCCCGACACTGCTCATCCCACTCCTTGGTGGTGGGTATATATCGCCTGGGGGCAGCCGTCATAGATTTATTTTCCATGGGAGGAGCATTGGATAACTTATTCTGCTGCAATTTCTTCATATTCTCCTTCTCCATCTTCTCGTTGTCCATCTCTTTGAGGACCTTTTCGATTCTTTCCTTCTTGGCTGCTCTCAAGCGATCCACCTTGATCCTTTCCTCTGGCGTATATCGAATGGGAGATCTTGAGAGATGAACAATTGGCTGCGTTGCCGGTGCTTCGCGATTTTCACAATTCTGTGCAGATGGAAGCAAGGCGCCGCGCATGCGTCTTTGTTCCACCAATTTCAAAGCCTCCACAGCTATTTTTCTTTCCTTCTCACGTCGCTTTTCCTCAATTTCCATAAACTTTGCAGATGTGGCATTAAGAGGAACATTTTCTTTTGGAGGCTTTTCTGCTTTGGTTACTGGGGGCTTTTCTTTGCCAGCAAGTGGAGTTTCTTCCTTGTGTTTCTTTGCATTCTTAACGCGAGGCACAATCATATAGTCCATATCGTTTAGTAAAACTATCTGAGTACCGCCAGAGGCTGTAAAATATCGGCAAATACTAATTCTAAGGAAATATTATGTGCCATGGATTCTTTACCCTTATCCGGCTTCTTGGGAAACCCTTTCCATGGCAAGGTCAGTTTACATTTCGGTTTACGTTCATCCCAACCTCAGTCTCTGGCTTTATTTTCTGAACATTTAAGTTAGTTCCATCTGTGGTCGATTCTTGTTCTTTAGTTGCGGCACAAACTCTTGGGCATTGGCATTAAGCTTCACTGTACTGGTTCCAACTAAATTTACACTCTTGTGCTTTATATCTAGGAAGATCGGATTTCGAGAAAAGTTTTTCCACAAGATATTGAAAGTTTCTTACACTCTAACAAATTAAACATGGTCTGGTCTTATTTCGGTTACTGGCTTCGGTTCTGTGAGCTCTATCCGTTAAACAGATATTTGTATAATATATATGATTGAAGATGCCCGTTATGAAGTATAGACAAAGCAAGCTTGAACTCTTATGGAAGGCTTACTAGGGGAGAAAACATTCGAAACAACAGATTTGTATTCAAAAATCTTTAAACATTGGCTTTAAAGATTGTGCCAAGCAAACTTCCTTTATAAATATACACGATCACTCTGCCATCTAAATCGCTCGGCAATCGATGTATATTTCGCCATTGTTGACATTTATTCGCACAATAAACACAAAGCCAAGGCAGCCGGTGAGAACACAGGTAAAATAAGTGAAGTCGGAGATGGAAATGGAGCTAAGGATGGAGCTGGGGAATGCAAAAGGCAAGGCCAGGAATGGTGCAAGCAGTGCAAGCGGTAAACGACATTCAATAAAACGTTTGAAAATATTGCAGACATGGCAGAGAGAGAGCGACGAAGAGGAGCTCCTGCTGAGGGAGAAACTGTGCGAAATGAAATGAAATGAAAGAAGCGCACAGAAATATGCAATTTCACCTCAATCAGACTTGTAAAAACAAACAAACAATGGCCAAGTGCAGAGCGCACAGCTTCTCAAAAAGGGGGCCTTCGTCCTCGGTGTTATCCTTCCCCTCCTTCGACCAGATGTCATATGAGCCACATGCTGGGGCTCCTTGCATTCTCGTTACCATTTCCGAGTCGAGTCCCCTGTATCGCTTTGCAAGCTCAAGCGAAAATGCAAAGAGCAGAAAAATGCAATAAGTAAAACGTAATAACTGCTCAGGAGCTGTGAACGCTTGGCTATATAATCAGGATGTTTGAGGGAAGGATTTACTTGCGATTCGCTGGCCTAAAGCTGAACAAATACAAAAATGGGGGAAAAGGGGATAGCTCTCTCATAACATGGAACTAACAAGAGCTCAGATATGTTTAGTTGGGGATAAATATAAGCTCTGATAAGTGTCTGTGACTAAATAAACAGGATATAACATAAATATGGTATTTTCATTTTACAACTTCAAGTTGCTTCAATCATAAATGATAGCTTCGTTTTCAATCAAAAGCATAGCAATATCAATAACTCTGCAAGATACATAACTTTCTCCATGAACTCAAATAAAAACTACCACCACAAACTGACCCAGTAACAGTGCACGTAATTATTATAAATAATTTATATCAATTAGGATTTCCCCTATAAGCAGTGCCCAAAAAATATGGCAACGTTGTCCGACAACTTGTAGGTCATCTGGGTATTACCACAGAGATTGGCATCCGCACATTCACTTATTTATCTATGCATGGCATGGAGTGTTGCAAATTTTTGCGTAATTCGCCTTGGGAGGCGAAGGTGAAACGGATGTGGAGGCGGTCGCCACTAATGCATTTGTGGTCAATTGCCGGGCCACAGGACCGGGTACACTGAACTGAAGGTACTGACATCATTTTAATAATAAAATTGTTAACAGAATTGCTCTGCTTTTGTGTTTGGCCGGGTCACACACAAAAACATGTGTTCTCCTTGTTAGCAGCTAAAAGCAACACACAATTGCAGAGAGAAAAAATACTACATGGAAATTAAATTGAAAGATAAAAAATGATGTTGAAAGGCCAACGTATACAAGAACTTTAAATTAAATCATTACTTTAAAAACTATTAGATTCAATAATATCTTACCTTTATGATTTATTTCTTGTTTATGTACACTTCAAAATTATGAAAACATTGACTATTAATACTTATTATAGTACTCATAAAAATAGTATATTTTCGTTATTGATAATATTTCCAAGATAATAATATTTAGGGTACTACAAATAGTAAATAATCTTTCCACAAGTTCTTCTAATCCTAATTGTAATCAAATAAAATTTTAAATCTTCAAACAAAAATTCTTTTACAAAACAACGCACTTTTTATAATAAATTAATTTCTTTTTAGAAAAATGAACCCAAATTATTATTTTTCCAGTATAGAAAATATTTTTGAGGGCCCCACGACGACGACCTCAATGTTGTCGTTGTCGTTGCTCCTGTTCCTGTTACTGCTCTGGTCTGGCCTCCTGCAATCTAAATAAAATGGCCGACGTGTGTGTACGCACAACTTTTGCCATATTTAATCGTATTTGCCCAAACAACAACATGGGGCGGATATACACACATACATATACGAGAATTCGAGGGGACTTTTAGTGCTGGCAATTGTAGCCAGCAGCAGTGGAACAGTGGAGACAAAACACAACGGAGCCCACTTTTGGGCATTTGCTTATTATTGTTCAAACTTTTGCGCCCACACTCAAAAACAAAAGAAACAAAAAAATTACCCACAGTAAGCCAGAAACAGAGCTCACACACAATTGGCTTGGCCTTCTTGTTTTGTGTCGAGCAAAATGTATTTTAGAATATTTTGTAACACAGAAATTACCTCAAAAACTGCACAGATGCAAATGGAACTAGAGATGACAATTGCGATGAAGAATATTTATATTATAGACAACAAATAAAGAAATATCTAAGAAAACAAATTGTAATTATCAATAATTCTTTCTATTTATTATTTTTAAACCAAGAGTTGAAAACAATTTACTGCTCATGTTCCATTTCAAATTTCAAACTGGGAGTTAGCCGTCTCTTGTGTTGGCTTTGGCTTTATACCGATTTTAAAGCTTGTTTCTGGACTCTGCTGGGGCAGCTTAAACGTGCAACGGAAACTTTTACCTGGGCCAGGTGGAAACTTTTAAGACACAAATTTATGCCAGAATGGCGACGAACGGACGGACAGAAGGAGAGAGCATGTGTGCTGGGAAAGTGATTAAAAATTGGGTCAAGTGGCCGTGTGTGCGTGCAAAGGGAGATTAAGCAATTTGGCAGCGGCGCACGCACACAAATCAAAGGATTTGGCCATCTTTTTTTATGAATCCTTGCTGTAGCAGCTCTTGCACTTAAACTTTCCCACCCGCAACCTATTTGTCATTTAGCATAGCTAAAACTAAGCATTAAACGAAGTTCTTCGACTTAATTACAAAAACGAAACCACAAACTGTAAGTACGGGCGATTTCCGCAAAGGTAAAGCAATCGAAAACAAAGAGTTAACCAGCAGGTGGCTTCAGCATCAGTCGACCCTTAACCACGATGAAGTCAGCCAGAAAGTAAAGCACTTGGAAAACAATTTACTAATATAAATAATGATAAATAAAATAAAGACATAAATCTTATTACAGTAACATAACACATTTTTTCGGTTAACTTTTGAATCTCTGCTTTAAGGGAAATTATGTTTTTTTTTCAGTGCAATTCAGGATTGAAGGGGAGATGGAGGACCACCAATATCCTGAAGCCGATTGTCGGGTTTCTCGGGTTTTGTTTTGCCTGTGGTTTCAGCGGCATCACAGACAGCGGCATCGACACAACACCGCCAATACCACCAACTACAACTACAGCAACAATTGCAACTAGCCTGATTCTGTATCCTTTCGGTGGAATTCAGGAAGTATTGCAACTCCACTGGACGGCCACATCAGAATCAGTCGAGACTTCGCTGAATTCTTCATTATCTTCGGTGCTCGCTACAGATTTTCTGATTGTCTGAAAGTGTTTGACTTTTTCGAAGCACAACCTTCAGTGAACATATTCTTCATTGATTTATTTGAAAAATACAGGGAACTGTTTTTTTTTTTGGAACGGATCTAGCTTCGTCTGAAATTTGTGGTTTGATTTTACCCAACATTATAATAATATTTACACCACTGCGTATACGTACTTTTTGCTACTCAGCTATAAATGAAAATACATAGCATACTTTTGAGGGGAATTTAGACAATAGAACAGCTTAAACTGGAATCATTCACCTTTTGGCTAGAGTATAGCATCCGAGAAGACATTAGGAACACCCATTCTAACTACTTCTTTCAAATTTAAATTTTAGCAATTTCAGCAGTATGAAAAACATTACGTATACGCACTGGAGTAAAAAGTATTTGATCATAACTAAGGCAAAAATGCATTAATTTCAATTCGGAAAATCGTTCTGTGCTAGTTTTTGTTATATTAATGAATTTACATATTAAGTTTACAAATTATAAAAAATCTACATTTTTCAATTTTTTAAATTTTAATAATGTGATTTACCCTTATGAAAATTTGAAAAATTTTTAAAATTTTTTTTCTCTCTTAAACAGTTAGATAGATACGCTTTTGATGCTGATCAAGAATATATATGATTTATAGGTTCGGAAATGATTCCTTCACATAGTTTTTTCCTCCTAACTAAAACTAGAATACCCTGCCAAGAATGGTTTTACAAAGTGAATCCACAGCAGGCCCCAGGACACATGTAGACACTACTCCACCTTACGATCCTTCATTATCTGGGCGGCTTTGTTGTCCGAGCTTTGATTTGTAAACAGGAGAAGTCAATTCTCCATATCTCCGCTATCCTGTATCCCTGTGCTTCTCTATGTGTGTGTATGTGTGTGCTTAACGTGCCTTAAATCACATTTGGGCTGTAATCAAGCTAAACAAATATGGGCGCTACGGACCAATAAAGGAGGTTCCCTTGTGTCAAGCTTTCGCTACGATTGGGTAAACTTAAATTGAGACTATCCATCGAAAATTTACACACTAACCAGAAGGATGTGTGTGTGCCAGAGTGTGTGTGTGCGTAGTTAACTGGGTCAAATAATTTAGCTGTTTTCGGCTTTAGTACTCAGTTCGTGTGACAATTAGCAAAG